TTACCACGAGCGTGTTTGTCTTGCGAGAACGGTTTGGGAGCTGGGGATATCAGGTTGCTGGAAGTGAGCTGATCTAGGATAGCCCACTTCAGAATGCATTCTATCACCTTGGTCGGCACGCTAGTGTGGCCTATATGTCTGTGGATGTCAGGCGATAATCATTCGTCAGTTTTGTAGGTTGGCCTGACAATCGCATCCTTCCAAAGCAGAGGGAAGGTTGCCTTCGTCCAGCGACTGACGACACACCAGGTGTAGATGATTTGCCAGTGTGGAGGGCGTTTCATTCAAGATCTTTAAATGGACGTCGTCGGCCCCAACGCGCAGAATGGGTTGATCTGGTGCAAGAGTTGATGAATGTCCTCCACCGTGAAAACCAATTCGGTAGGAGGCTGCTCATAATTCCGCCTTGACAAGAGTGGATGTGACGAGGGCGCTGGGGCTGAGTATAGACACGCATGGTGTTCTCTGTAAACCTCGGATTCCACTGTTGGGTCATTTGTCGGTTCTCCGTTTGTGTCCCTCAAGGAGAACGCGGATGGCTTGTTTCTGCGACGAGGTCTCATGTATTTAAACAAGACATGTTCTTTTTTCGAGGGAGGTCCAGGTTGGTGACTTTCTTAGTTTGTTCAGTTTACGGATTTCTGATTTACAGCGGGTCCGCATTTTACGAAATGACAGCTCATCTTCTGTATCCCCTGTAGTCAACCTTTTGAAGTGGAGTTGGGACGCTTTTTCCAGAAGTCTCCGAATCCTTTTTGGTAGCCTGCGGCCCATCTGAGTGCGTGCTTTTTTATTGGGACGAACTTTCTGGACAATGATCCTATATAGTTCTTCCATTGGAGCTGGTCCCAGTGTGACGTGTTCTAGATGGACGTGCATTCCTGAGAGGTCTGCACGGCGGAAGTCCCGAAACGACGTTTGAGGATCGGGTTTTCTGGTCCATTAGCAGATGAAATCAAAGGTCAGCACAAAGTGGTCGCTATGTCCCAGTGGAGCGTTAATTGTTACCTGATCAACGAAGGGTTTTTCGATTGATCAACGAAGGGTCTTTCGTTAGTGATGACCAAATCCAGGAAGGTTGCTATTTGGCCGCGCGGTATCTAGTGGATGCAGAGAAATGTTGAGTCCAAGCGCTCTGTTGAACGACTTCAATCAGCGCCGCCGCAAAAGTCCGCCTGATCCGACGCGCTGGAGCTCTATCCAGGAGGCCTTTGAGGCGTTGGAGTC